TGGGACTGAGCCACGGTTGTGCTCACACACTCCAGAGAGCTGCCACATTGTGAGGATGTGTGTGATGTAGTAGCCTTTGCAGGTGGTTGGAGAGCTTAGAATAAGATTTAAAGGTCTGCTGGTTTGAGTATCTGTGAAGGAAAACATTAATGAGAAACGTCTTGTTTGCATTAATTCAATTAGTAAAAAGGAAGTTTATTCTGCTGCGAAACTGTACAAATAATTCCAGACAAAGAGATGGAGAGAAACCCGAAAGGAGGATATGATGGAGATGAATCTCAGTGATGAGACCTGATACCTGAATGAGATTAAAGCAGGTGGCTGTGAAACCCTTTTATAACCTCTATGCTTATGTTCTCCTCTTATACAACAAATTGCCACCTGATCCTCTCTTTGATGTAATAAACCCTTTCTGCCTTCCTTTGAGTTTAACCCTGCCTCATACCATCCATGTAGACCTCTATGACACTCTGTCTCCTACTAATCATTATGAAAAGTCCTAAAATCAGTAGCGATCATTAAGGTGAGCTGGAAAGGCAGTCGGCTGTAAGACAGGAGAGGAGGAGAATGAATTTATAATTAAATGTTGAAGTATATTTGTCACACTTCTTGTACAGTTGTTTCCCTGTTCTGGGATTCAACTGTTTTGCAATAATGGATTGAAAGGTGTTCCCTCAGTTATCCCATAACTTCTGATATTGAATAAAGCTTTTTTGTTTTATTTTTTATTGACAGGCTTGTTCTTATTGAGTTTGTGTTTTCTTCTGGCGCTGCTTGCATGTTTCCATCATTTTGTTCTGCTCTGGGTTTCTTTGTTTGTTGTCTTTCGATCAATTTCCTTCCCACAAAGTTTGCAGTTGAATGCATTGCATACGCTGCCGTGGATGCTTGCCCACATGGGACAACATAGCATTCTCACAACACAGCAAATAAAATGTAATTTTTTTTGCACCCTTGTTTTTAAATTGATGATAGTTTATCAACTCTCAGGGGGCATTTAAGCCGTGACCCTCCATTAATTCCTGTTGATTGATTATTGCCTAATGCACACATTTATAGGCCCTATAGAGAGTCATTCAGATTACGACAGCAATAACCAATAGGAGAGCTGAGCGCGGATATCTCCTTCCTGTTTAAAACCACCGCCTCCTCCGCTGTGTTCCTGGAGAACCTGGGCTTCAAAGACTTCATCCGGATCGAACTGAGCTGTAAGAGCTGGAGAATCAAGAATGAATCCAAATCAATCACATTTAAAGGGCGAGTGTGAGTCTTTAAAGCCCTTTGTGTATGGTGGGATTTATAGTATGGCAGCAAGACTTAAATAGACTTAAAGAAGCCCTAAGCTTTTTGGGTTCCCTTTCCTGTAGTGTGTAAGAAACGTCTACCAACCTGACGAAACATGTGCAGGGTTTACTAAAAGAGCTGCATTAGCAATAACGTTTTCTCGTGTTTTTCTGGGGGGAAAAAAATTATAATTTTTTTCTTAATTAATTAATGAAATTGAAAATATATTTTTTTCGAAAAATAGTTATTTTTATAATAAAAAAATAGAAAGACTGAGATTTTCACTTGTGTCCTCTTAACTCTTTTATTAACAAGAAAAACCAAAACATTACATTTTTTCCAGACATGTAAATGTGGCACTCATCTCAGATGTTGAAAATAGAAACACAATTTATTACAAACTCAACCTGTTAGCTTTTATTTTTTATGACTTTCCTTTTAATGTGTTTTGTTTCCTTCTTCAAACTTTCATTTATGCATTCAACACATTGAGACTTAGTCAAAAATAAAAGACATTTAGAATAAAATATCTCCAATGAAAGAAGCTCTGGTGCTTTCTCTCTCTCATGCTTTACAAGAGAAACAACAACATACAAATACATCAATATCGATATTCAACAAATATTTAGAGCAAAGTTTACATTTCCATGCAGAGAAATATGAGTTGAGGTTAACAGAAATCCTCCTGAGCAGTGACAGCCTCCACGGCTAAACAGACACAGGAAGGAGCGCCGCCTAAAGAAACTCCAACATCTACAGAACAACTCATGAGAAGATGTTAAAGCACATCCCATAATGTTTGATTGACAGCTGATCTCTGTGCAGTGAAGACATGAACAATCAGCTCTCAGCAACAATGATGGACACACAATGAGTTTAAGAAGTAGAAGAGTTCCTCAAATGACTTCAGGCTATTTCAGTTTACAAAACTCAGCTGTGGCTCCTAAATCATAACCATAAAGCCGAACTCCAGCATGTAGCGGCTGAGTGAATGTGGTCTGGACTCTGTGGAGGAGAGTCATGGTTTCAGAGATGCTGTAGAAGGACAGAATACCTGCTCTGTGATCCAGGTACACTCCTACTCTGGAGGACAGAGGACCTGAGACGGGAGTTCTGATACTGTTGTAAAGAAATGAATAACTGTTTCGGTTACAATCTAAGGACCAAGATTTGTCATTGTTTCCAAATAAACTGTCATCCCCTGCTCTGCTGATATTCTTGTATGCGACTGCTACATCAATTGTTACCCCTCTCCACTCCACCTCCCAGTAACAACGTCCAGTCAGACTCTCTCTACTCAGGACCTGAGGCCATACAGTGAATCTGTCTGGGTGACTAGAATAAGACTGTTGTTGTTCCATGTATGTTGCTTTTCGGCTCCACTCAGATAATAACAGCTGTGTGTGTGCTGTGTTTGGATCCAGAGTGATCTCCTGTAAGTATTGTAAGAACCCAGCTCTGGTGGTGGGCTCTGCTGCTGACAGTAAAACATCCACTTCAGTCGGTGAGACGTTTGTCCATTCCTCTCTCAGGACGTCCTGTAGTTTGTCTCTGACTGCTGACAGGGCCGCCGTCACGTCCTCAAAGTAGCTCAGAGGACGGATGTTGATGCTGGATGAGTGTGTAGGTTCACTGAGGGCTGACAGTGAGGGGTAGCTGAGCAGAAACTGGTTGTGATCCTCTGTGTGAGACAGCAGCTTCAGCTCAGCGTCTCTCCTCTTCAGATCAGCCATCTCCTGCTCCAGCTTCTCCTGAAGCTCTTTGACTCGACTCACTTCACTCTTCTGCTGGGATCTGACCTGCTGCTTCACATCAGAGCTTCTTTTCTCCATGAGACGGATCAGCTCAGTGAACATCTTCTCACTGTCCTCCACTGCTTTATCAGCAGAGCCATTGACGGCCTCCACCTCCTGCTGAAGCAGCTTCACCTCCTTCTCTCTGTCCTGGATTCTCTGCTGGATGTTTTGTCGACTCCCCTCCAGCTCTCTCTGCCTCTCAGTCCTTTCTGCTGCAGCTGACACTGTGTCGTGGCCTTTGTGTTCGTCCACAGAGCAGAGATAACAGATATACTGCTGATCAGGGCGGCAGAACATCTTCATCACCTCGTCATGACGAGAGCAGATGCTCTCCTGGAGCTTCTTGGAGGGCTCCACCAGCTTGTGTTTTTTTAATTGAACTACGTCATTATGAAGCTGGAGGTGTTTCTCACAGTAAGATATAAGACACACGAGGCAGGACTTACAGGCTCTCAGTTTCCTCCCAGTGCAGATATCACAAGCCACATCTTCAGCTCCAGCATAGCAGAGATCAGCAGGAGCAGCTTGGAGTCCAGTCTTCTTCAGCTCCTCCACTAAAGCTGCTAACATGGTGTTTTTCAGCAGGACAGGCCTCGGTGTGAAGCTCTGCCTACACTGAGGGCAGCTGTGGATCTTCTTCTCATCCTCTCCATCCCAGAAGCTTTTAATACACTTCCTGCAGTAGCTGTGTCCACAGGGAGTCACCACCGGATCCTTCAGTAGATCCAGACAGATCGGACAAGAGAAGGTTTCCCGGTCCAGCTGAACTCCTTTCTGCGCCATTTCACCTCTCAGTGGCAGCGAGTGTCTGAGTTTCACTTCCTGAGCAGTGATGATACCTGTATTAAGCAGGTGAAACAGAGCAATGAGGACACGGTGTGTTATGTTTCCTTCCAGATCGCTTCTCTGGTTGTTCTATTACACAACAAAATAATTTAAACATATTAACTCTCTCTAATATGCATTTCAGTTTTCATTTACATTGTTTAATAAACCGTTTACTTTCCTGACACAGTTCCACTAACATACATTCACTGCCAGTTACTCTTTTCTGTGATAAACAAACATTTCAATTGAATTTCAAATTCAGCAAACATCTCTGTACCTTAAATACATTTTTCAACAGTATTAAACCTTTATTAAATACTACTCTTCTATTTACTGCAACTCAAAAGTAGCATCATGACCCATTTAAACTGTCATGTGACAATTGAACTTCTGCATGCATAAACTGGAGAATAATAATTATGTTAACACTCAGTATTACAGTCTTATGGCGCGTTTTCACTACACGGCCTCGCTCGGTATGGCTAGGCCTCGTTAGGACTTGTTAGGACCGGCTCACTTTATGCTGCGTTTCCATTACAGTTTAGGAACTGCGGTAGTAACTATAGTAACAGTGTAGGCGGAGCCGTGACGTCATCTTCAATGAGAACCCCAGAAAAACAACACAGTGGACCGTCACATTATATAGGCGAACCTTATGGGGCATTCATTATGATTTGTGCACAGTTTACTAACCTGTATTAAGCCGGCGAAACAGGACCAATGAGGACACGGAATATTGGGCACAGAGTCCGGCGCACTGGCTTGGGTCAGACGCAGGGAGACGACGCAAATGAGGGACCCAAGGATTGCATTTAACCGAAGTGAGATGCATCCACAGAGCGGGAGATGGGAGGTGGGGCTTAAGAGAAAACTCTACTGCGCATGCTCTGTGGGCCCACATCCGGTTACTTCTGCTCTCAACCATGATCTCAGGCAGTCTCCAGTTCTGGTAAAACATCCTGCAGTCGGAGTCTCTATCAGCTTTCATTAATTAATATCTATCTATCATATATTAGAATATAACCCGTTTCTCTCAGGAGAAGAAGAGACGAGAGGAGCTTTAGAACAATTCCACCTCTTCACCCGGGTCCTTGTCTGCTGTTAGCTGCTTCATGCTAGGTGGCTAATGCTAGTCGGTGTACATCAACAAACCGTAGAACAACGAGGAGCAGAAACACCGGGTAATACTGAGTACTTTTACTATAATACTGTGTACTTTTACTACTGATAATACTGAGTACTTTTAGTACTGATAATACTGATTACTTTTACTATAATACCGAGTACTTTTGCTACTGATAATAATACTGACTACTTTACTCAGGTATTGTACTTGAGTAAAAGTAGCATTAAAATATAGTCAAAGTACCAATAGTAATAATAAACAAAATTATCATGAACATATAGTTAACGTAGCAAAAGTAAAAGTAGTGATTGTGCAGATTGGTCCATTTCAGAATAATATATATGATATGTTTTATAATGATTGATCATTAAAGTGTTCTCAAAGCTGGTAAAGGTGCAGCTAGTTTGAATCACTTTGTATACTGCAGGCCCTGCAGTATACAAAGGCTGACATTCATTGAAATTCATAGCAGGGTAGCTTATGACTTTACTCCAGGTGGAACTAAAGTCTGATTTAAGAGTTGATTATATTTCACATCATTAATCCAAATCTGTAAAGTAACTAAAGGTATTACATACATGTAGTGGAGTAAAAGTAGCATACAATGTACTCAAGTAAAGTACAAGTACCTCTATAGTTGTACTTAAGTACAGTACTTGAGTAAATGTACTTCCCACCTCTGCTGTTAAGCTACTTCTTAGCTGTAGATTGGTTTTGTGTTGACCGGAGTGTTAATACTTATTTCAGAGACACAGCAGGAGAAGGAGCACTGAGAGCAACATGGAGGAGAACAAAGAGCCCCCCAGAACTCAGGTCAGTGTTCACTTCATCACAATATATTTCTAACACTGTTATCCCTGACACTGGGGTACATTTATTTTATATAAGGATTTTAAATTATTTTATTTAATGAGAAAAACAAACTTGAGCATTGTCGGGTTTATTCTCTTACATTTAGATATGGGTTCAGGTGTATATCAGTAGTGTCTCTACTTTAAAGAGTTCTCTCCTGCTGATGTTCAGGGGCCTCATTTATAAAGCCTTGCGTAGGATTCACGTGGGAAGGTTGCTTACGTAGGACAAAGCAAATAAATACGCACAGACATTTTCGGATTTATAAAACACTGCGTACTGGTTTCCCTTTAAAAATCACAATCAACTCGAAATGCGGCGCAGCTTTTGCGGGCTTCACGTAATGCCCATATTTGCCTATAAATAGTCAAAGAAACGCCCCGTATTAATATTCATTTTGACTGACTGCAGGAAGAAGATCGCAGGAAAAGACGACAGAACAGCTAAAAATGACATTTCACACCGTGTCAGATTTTGGTTATTTTGGGGAGGTCGAGATAAACCATATTGTTTGGTGGATGCAGTTTGAACCAGAGTAGCAGCATGGAGGTCGGATCGTCACCAAAATAAATAAATAAGTGGTCCGAAAAAAGTTAATGACAAAAAAAATACACATAACCTAACCTTCCTCAGGCAGTGTGTCAGTGTGTTTGTGCCGGGGACAGGAGACACCCCCTTGATGAGAAACTGTAAGAAATGATCAGGGAATACCTCCGGAGTGGAGTCCTGACGACTGGATCTGAATTATTATTTGTATTTGGTGGTTTGTGTTCCAGCTGTCGATCAGCTGTGCGCAGCGTCTCCACTGCAGCCTGTGCATCTCAACCCCCCCCCCCCCCCCCCCGCAGCAACTATATATCCATAATCCTCCAGTTAAAGGAAATACAACTAATGTGTTGTGTTATATTAGCTGTACAATTTACCACATATGGTGTTCTTAGTTTCCATACCTCCTGTGTTTTACGAGCACCAAGTATTGGTGAACGGCATAAAACATGATTAAACATGATAGTATATAAAACCATGCTCGTATCCAGGGTTGGGAGGGTTACTTTGTAAATGTAATAAGTTACTGATTACTGAATACATGGCTCTGAAAGTAATCCGAATACAGTTACAGTTATGTGTCTTAAAAAAGTAACGTAATCAGATTACTTTTAGAATACTTTTGGATTACTTTCTTTTTCCATCACAGATGGGTATGTTTTGGTGAACAGGAGATACAAAAAGCAAAAGGAAACTGAACGTGTTTTTACTGTTTTAATGGCTTATCAAAAGCACAACTGAAACATAACATCTGAAACGATGTAACAACATAATAAACTTTTTGGGGATGCAGCTTGGGATGTGAGGAGTGAGGGACACGGCTTAGAAAGGGCGTGTCGCCTTCTGTCCTGCCAGTGTTGGCAGGACATTAATTAAAATGTCGAACTCGGACTTCATTTTAAAGGAGAGGTGTCATGCTTTTCCGGTTATTACCCGTCCCCTTGTGTGTTATGAAGGTTTAATGCGGAAACGGTGTGCAGAGTCAAAACCCTCAAAGTACACCCTATAGCGAGTACAACTCTAACACAGAAAATACCTCCCCAAAACGCCTCGTTGGAGATACGTCATTGTCCATTTGATTCTTCCGGGACGGCATGATGTCAAGCCGTACCCGGAACGAAATGGACCAATCTGTGGAGCCGTTGCGTTAAGCCCCCGCTGAATGGTCCAAATTGACCAATCCACGGACTTCCTCACACACACATCTGTGTGCAGGGAGCAGGCAGCTCTGCTGATTTCTCCTCCCTGGCTGCAGGCTGATAACAGACAGTTGGGATCGCGGCGAAATTCTCTCTGCAGACCCATTCTCACAGTGTTTATCAACCTTTTTCTTACTCAATATCAAGCCACACTTATTGTTTTTACTTCGGATGTGAGTTTGTGTGTGCTCAGGATGAGTTTGGCTGTGTTTCGCTATGTATCGCTAACAAGGAAACCACACCTCCATGGAGCTCAGCGCGATTCACAACGTCCCGACCAATCAGAGCACACTGTGCTCACAGGGAGGGTGGGGGCTGGAGCTTTGGGAGCTACAACGAGCCGTTAAAGGCAGAGAGTGAAATTCAGTGAATACAAGTAGTTTACAGAGATGCTGTATGAGAAACCAATGTGAGTTTGGAAAAATGCACAGTATAAATCTATTTTAGTATACCTCAACAATGGAATTATGATCAGTGGAAATGGCCATGACACTTCTCCTTTAAAGACATTTCGGCCAGGGGTGTTGAGCTATATTTGTTTAAGCACCGGATTGGCAAAACAGGAGACAGTGTGCACCAGTCTGCCTTGATCTATGAATTCATGTCCGTGACACTCACAGTATCTGCTGCCCACAGCTGTTTTATAGAAGGAAAACCTCCTTCACTTCATGAAATCTCTGCAGCACCAGGAGGCAGCGGGAGGGTTAGCTCAGCCTCTGAGAAGAGGAGCGCGCAGTACCTGGCTTTCACGCACCACCTTCACTGTGTTTACCTTCAGAATCATTAGAAAGGATAAAGAGCGACCGCAGGCTGATGTGTTTTAACCACACACACCTCTACACACACACACACACACACGATTTAAACGCAGTCTTTTGTTCTTCCATGTTTCGTTGTTATTGTTTCACTGAGCGGACCCGCACAATGTTTTCAAACGCTCCCTTTTTTGGTCCATCTGCGGCGGTAATAGGTTTTGTGCGCTGTGATGATTTGGCTGTACCTTTAGTAATGAATATTAAAGGTTGTGAGGAAATCTTTCCACCAATGATTCCAGTAAGTAATCCAAAATGTATTCACTTCAGGTTTACGAAAGTAACTGTAATCAGATTACTCGTTTTTCAAATGTAACGCGAGCTGAAAACAGTTACTTAATTTTTGTATTCTGATTACGTAACGCCGTTACATGTATTCCGTTACAACCCTGCTCGTATCTACAACCTATAGAAATGCAAAACTGCGTCAGTTTAAAGTAATTCTGTCCCTCTGTTTACCGCATCATTTATGAGAATACATTTCTTAACAAGAGAACATAATCGAGGGGTGATCAATAACATTTCCGTATTTATTTATTTCTCCAAGTTATGTTTTTGTGTGCACTGAGGAGTCTCAAACAGGCGTTTGTTTAATCATTTTAAGATTGGCTTTAATCAATTTGTGAAAATTAATTCTTCATGTATGATAAATAAGAGGTAACGTTTTATTTATGGTAGAGATAATGGTAAGGAGGCCCAGCGGTTCATATCTTCTTTACACTTATTGAGAAGAGTGGTAAAGTTTTTAGTGAAAGTACTAAGAAGAGAGCGAGTGGCCTCAATTCCTAAATATTTGAAGCCATCTTGAGCTTTTTTTAAAGGGCAAAAGGCTATGGGGGAGTAAATCGGCTGCAGAGTTTAAAGCTCTTTTGTAAATGTAATTTATAACCTGAGACTTTCCCAAATTGATCGAGGATATCCAGGATATAGGGAAGCAATGAGGCAGGCTCGGATACATAAGCAGGTCACCCGCGTAAAGGGACACCTTAAACTTTTGTCCTGCCCGATCAATGCCTTTGAAATCCTTACATAAACGAAGTGTTGTTGCCAAAGGCTCAATTGTTAGCGCAAAATGGAGTGGGGGAAGCGGGCATCCCTGTCTTGTTCCTCTTCCAAGGGGGAAGTAATTAGACGGAGTGTTATTAGAGATTATAGCAGCCAGGGGAGAGGAGTAGAGAAGTCTAATCCACGCAATTAATAAAAAAATGTAAGCCACATTTTTGGAGGGCAAGGAATCTCCATTCCACCCGGTCAAAGGTCTTTTCCGCATCGAGTGATATTACTACCTCTGGGTCTGGAGACCGGGCAGAGTGGACCATATTAAATAGTTTTCTCAAATTTGAATACGAATGTCGGTTCTGGATTAATCCTTTCTGATCAGGAGATATAATATCTGGAATCATTTTCCAGACGTCTGGCCAGGACCTTAGACAGCACTTTAAAGTCTACATTCAGTAGGGGAATAGGGAGATAGAGGCTTGTCGTAAAGTCATAGGAAGGGAGCCTGAAGAGAGTGCTTCTTTAAACATTGTCTGAATAATTGGTGCTAGTTGAGGGGAAAACTTCGGAAGTTGAAACATCTGCGCTCAATTTAATGTTTTGTTCCTCTGACACAGAGAGTAACATTTTGAAAGAAGACCTCAGGGTCCTCATTACATTCTGAGGCATAAAGGTTAGAATAGAAATGCAGAAAACCTTCATTTATGTCCTCATGATCTATCAGGGTCTCTCCTGTATGTGACTGAATTTCAGTAATTGACCGAGAGGCAGCTGTTTGACGAGCTTGCAGGGCCAGGAGCTTGTTTGCTTTGTCTCCAAATTCATAGACATTATGCTTGGATTTCAAAATAAGACGCGTTGCCTCATCAGTAGTTAGAAGGTTGTATTCAGTTTGCAGACGCTCCTTATAAAGATCTGGGGTTGGAGTTAGAACATATTTCGAGTCAATAATCTTGATTTGATGAGGTAAACTTTAAGGGACTCCCACAGTGTGGCATTAGAGATTTCATGGGAGGTGTTTGTTCCTAGAAAAAAATTGATTTTGTCCGAAATTAATTCAACGAAGCGATCATCTGATAGTAGAAGAGGATTGAGTCTCCAAACTCTGTTCGGAGGGGGTCAATTTGGAAGATCCAGTTTGAGTACCATGGAACTATGTTCAGATATAACTATGCTATTATATGAGCAAGACCTCCCATAATAACAAATCCATTGTCAAGTCTAGGTATTTTAAAGAATAGTTTCTTAAAAAAACTACTGTCATCGCAATTTTGGGCATACACATTTACTAAAATCACTGGGTTAGCAAAGAGCTGCCCAACCACAATAATATACCTTCCATTAGGGTCACTAATAATATCCTTTGAGTGGAAATAAATGTTCTTGTTAATTAATATGGCTGTTC